TCTTATCTTATCAGCTCAAAAATTATTTCAAAGCGGATTGGTTTAGGTGTTATCCACTGGGCCCAGTGGATCACTACCTGGGGCATAATGGAGCGTTTCCTGGGGCACAGAGAATCAATAGCTGGGATACAGCGGATCTCTACCTGGGACACAATGGATCCCTAACAGATCACGGCGAATCACTACCTGGTGCAAACTGGATCCTGGGGCAAAGTGGACCATGTCTGGGAAAAAGTAGATCCCAATCTTGGGCAAAGTGGATCCCTACCTGGGCCACAATAGATCACTACTTGGGGCACAGTGGATCACTATCTGGGGCACAGTGCATCAATACTTGATCACAAACTTATGAACAGTCGGTAAAAGCTTGACTTTCAACGACTTACCTTAAAATTCCGTAACATTTTTAGAATTTTCCTTAAAAAATAAATCAATCAATAAATCATCCTTAAGGCAATTGCAGCGGAACAAAACTGTAAATTCAATCTCCCCCCCCCCCTTCCTACCCCCCCCCGCCACCCCCATTTCAACGACTTACCTTAAAATTCCGTAACATTTTTAGAATTTTCCTTAAAAAATAAATCAATCAATAAATCATCCTTAAGGCAATTGCAGCGGAACAAAACTGTAAATTCAATCCCCCCCCCCCCCTTTCCTACCCCACCCAGCCACCCCCAACCTGGCTGCTTCAAACGTTCGTGATCGTAAGAACGGGAAACTTAACACTGAGGAAGGAGGATGCCATACAGTAAACTGGCGCTGCGCCTATGATTTAGTACAGGTCTGCACAACTCAAAATGTAAGGCGGGCCGTAACACTTTATGAAAAACGTGTGCGGGCCAAAAGAAAAATAGGACATAGGGGGGAAAGCTATTCATAATTAAGAAAATAATAAGAATAAGGAATATTTCGTTACTTCGTCGGTCGCAAAGTGGGTGCCGGCGGGTCGCATACGGCTCGGGCCGTATGTTGTGCAGACTTGATTTAAGACATGTGACCTAGTAAGAGTTGTGCAGTTGAAAGAGACATATGACAATTGTACTCACGTAGCATGTGCATATTTACACCACTCGCGTGGCACTGTCAGTATCCAAGACAACTATCAGTTTCTGGCTAAATTGTCAAACAGGAAATAAAATAATTGGATTTTTTTGTTCTTTTAAAATATTTTTTCCCCTTCTAGTTTTTACTTCACATCTCCTGTAGCCTATTTAAATTTAATTTGGTCCTCTTTTTATATTTTGAAAGGTTAAATTGATCCAACGGGTTATATACTTGAAAAAAAGTTCGAAAGATCTACCGGGGAAGCAACATATTAGATTATATCACGTTTTAGAAAGAAACTGGTATACAACAATCTCCTCCAAAAGTTTTAAAAAAAAAATGTGTTCTGCTTTTTAAAGTGTTCAAAGTTCAAGCCTCAATTTAAATAGCATCGTGAAGTCGACGGAGAGAAGGTAAATAGCATCGTGAAGTCCATGGAGAGAAGGGTAAATAGCACAAGGCACTCTAGTTGTCACGGCAACAAAGTGATGCAGATCATGAAACTTTTTTTGTTGTTGATGAGCTTACTTTGCACTGTCAGCGATGATGAGACCATTTACACTGTCAGCGATGATGAGACCATTTACACTGTCAGCGATGAGACAATTTTTACTGTCAACGATGAGACCATTTACACTGTCAGCGATGAGACCATTTACACTGTCAGCGATGAGACCATTTACACTGTCAGCGATGAGACAATTTATACTGTCAGCGATGAGACCATTTACACTGTCATCGCTGAGACCGTTTACGCTGTCAGCGATGACACCATTTACACCGTCAGCAATGAGACCATTTATAGTTTCAGTTATGAGACCATTTACACTATCATCGATAAGACCATTTACACTGTCATCGCTGAGACCGTTTACACTGTCAGCGATGACGCCATTTACACTGTCAGTGATGAGACCATTTGCACTGTCAGCGATGAGACCATTTACACTGTCATCGCTGAGACCATTTACACTGACCGCGATGAGACGATTTACAAAATGCCAGTGATGAGACAATTTTCACTGTCAGCGATGAGACCATTTACAATGTCAGTGATGAGACCATTTAAACTGTCATGGATGAGACCATTTAAACTGTCATGGATGAGACCATTTAAACTGTCATGGATAAGACAATTCACACCGTCAGCGATGAGACCGTTTACACTGTCAGCGATAATATCAGTAGCCAAAAAATGTTAACTGTTGGTGTATTCCTACTCCTAGCGATACCAGGATTAACTACAATTAACAATGGGACTCTTTGCCACTAATGACTAATGGCTTTTATTGATTCATGTGTCACATATTATACATTTTCTTTGTGGTGGTTTCAACAAATGTTAATGGAAGATTGATTTTAGTGTACCGGTATTTAATTTTTTAAAAAATTGTGTGTGTTTATTAATGTTTGTGGGTTTTTAACAGTCGTTTAAAATGATTGTCCAACTTTACCTGGCAAAGACAGGAGCACAATGGTAAACAGTGTCTGGGGTTTTTTGAAGTTTAATCCCGGAGTTTGAAAGTAGCAAGATGAAAAGTTGTCCAATCTACCAGAGATGAAAGGGGTCCAGTCTACCAGAGATGAAAGGGGTCCAATCTACCAGAGATGAAAGGGGTCCAGTCTACCAGAGATGAAAGGGGTCCAGTCTACCAGAGATGAAAGGGGTCCAGTCTACCAGAGATGAAAGGGGTCCAGTCTACCAGAGATGAAAGGGGTCCAGTCTACCAGAGATGAAAGGGGTCCAGTCTACCAGAGATGAAATGTGTCCACTCTACCAGAGATGAAAGGGGTCCAGTCTACCAGAGATGAAAGGGGCCCAGTCTACCAGAGATGAAAGTTGTCCAGTCTACCAGAGATGAAAGGTGTCCAATCTACCAGAGATGAAAAGTCTCCAATGTACCAGAGATGAAAGGGGTCCAGTCTACCAGAGATGAAATGTGTCCAGTCTATCAGAGATGAAAGGGGTCCAATCTAACATAGATGAAAGGGGTCCAGTCTACCAGAGATGAAAGGGGTCCAATCTACCAGAGATGAAAGGGGACCAATCTACCAGAGATGAAATGTGTCCAGTCTATCAGAGATGAAAAGTCTCCAATCTACCAGAGATGAAAGGGGTCCAATCTACCAGAGATGAAAGGGGTCCAGTCTACCAGAGATGAAAAGGGTCCAATCTACCAGAGATGAAAGGGGTCCAGTCTACCAGAGATGAAAGGGGACCAATCTACCAGAGATGAAATGTGTCCAGTCTATCAGAGATGAAAGGTCTCCAATCTACCAGAGATGAAAATCGTCCAGTCTACCAGAGATGAAAGGGGTCCAGTCTACCAGAGATGAAAGGTCTCCAATCTACCAGAGATGAAAATTGTCCAGTCTACCAGAGATGAAAGGGGTCCAGTCTATCAGAGATGAAAGGTCTCCAATCTACCAGAGATGAAAATTGTCCAGTCTACCAGAGATAAAAGATGTTAATTCTACCAGAGATGAAAGGTGTCCAGTCTACCAGAGATGAAAGGTGTCCAGTCTACCATAGATGAAAGTTGTCCAGTCTACCAGAGATGAAAGGTTTCCAATCTACTAGAGATGAAAAGTCTCCAATGTACCAGAGATGAAAGGTGTCCAATCTATAAGAGATCAAAGGTAACAGTCTCAGACATCTAGGAAATGATCGCCTTGAGAGCCTTGTCCTGGAGACACAGTCTCAGTCTTTAGTGACTGACTTAATTAAGAGCCTGGTCCTGGAGTGATGGATGCACTTTTCGGAGGAGAGCCTTGATGGGTGGTTTCAGTTAGGGGAATTTTTTTTTCCTATGAATATTAAGTTTTGTGCACCCCCTTTATCTGTTTGAGTAGACCAGGTCACAATTTAACGGCTTTACGAATATCTCTGTGGCTTTTTTAGTACTGGTATAACAACCAAAAGATGCCGACAAATTATCAATATTCAAATGGATTTTGTAGTAATTGTAGTTACCAAAAGATGCCATTATTTGTATGGCTTCTGTAGTTACCAAAAGATGCTGCCAAATTACCAATATTTATATGGCTTCTTTAGATATCAAAATGTGCCCTAAAATTACTAATATTTCTCTGATGACATCGTCATGTACATGCCAATAAAAACCAGGAGCTGGTTGCGTTGAGAGGCATCAGACGTTTCGTCCAGTAATATGCCGAGCGGAAATGACATAACCACCAATTATTCCATTATTAGCTTCGGAATATAGGAAGTAGTATTAAACATTATTTGGTGCGTTACGTCCTTTGACAATGGAACCGTTCCAAGTTTCTTTCTCTCCTCCATGCAACGAACCTTTTCAACTATTTCCTGGGCATGTGGACAATTATGGCGACATTGCACCCAATATAAATTGACCACAAAAAACAACCAAAAAAAAACAAGAATTTAACATAAAGATATACCGGTAGTAAATAGAAACGTTACATTTTGATCTGACTTTCACCGACCACCTGATGCTGACCCATGTGGGCCTACAGGTGTTTTCTGAACCTGCAACCAAGGCAATGGTCTGTCTCCCCAGCATCCCTTTAGTCAAGCAGCCAAACATGCCTACATCACTCTAACGTCAGGCAGCCTAAACAGCCAGCAACCTTAAAAGTCCAGCAGCCTAACATTTCTATGCCACTTAAGCCATGCAGTTTAACATGCAAGTCAAGTAGCAAAATTAACTGGCTAAGTTCAACTATCCATGTTTTGATTTTATTTGGCTACAGTTTGATGTTCACTGTAATGTCCAGTTAGTGAATCAGCATGTTTGTTATGGTAATAATGACCACTCAGTGAAATGTTTGTTTTTTTCTAAAGCATTTTACTAGTTACTGTGGATTATAATTATAATAAGAAAGTCCAGTCAATAAAATGTTTTTTGCTAGAGGTGGTTACTGTAGCTAAATTAATCTTACGTACTTAAAAATAAAACTTCAATAATTATTCATTTTAACGTAAAAAAGTGCTTTATTGTAATTTACAAATGAGTCTTAACAAACATGATAACATTAGTGTCACCAATATTTTAACAAGAAATTTAGAACAAAAATTAAAATCAATGTGAATGTCAATGTGTTACAATGTCAGTTACAGGGTTTTCATCAAAAATTGTCAGCAGAAAATATGCATCTTTTCCAACGCCCCTGTAGGTCCACACTTCGCATGTGTTTCTCTCTCTCTACCCCCCCCCCCCCCCAGGTTTTCGATTTCTGTATCCATTACCCGGAAGGTCAAACTATGAAGGTGCATGCTTCAATGTCATCTCCCCTATACAAAAAATGCAGTCTTTATGTTACAATGTCAGTTACAGGGTTTTCATCAAAAATTGTCAGCAGAAAATATGCATCTTTTCCAACGCCCCTGTAGGTCCACACTTCGCATGTGTTTCTCTCTCTCTCCCCCCCCCCCCCGCCAGGTTTTCGATGTCTGTATCCATTAACCGGAAGGTCAAACTATGAAGGTGCATGCTTCAATGTCATCTCCCCTATACAGACAATGCAGTCTTTACCAACAAGTTCTTGTGAAAGATAATTATCTATAAATGAATCTGCTTTTTCACCAACAAGAATTTGATCTGTTGAAAAATCAACTAAACTGGACGTCAAAGAGAAATTATCTCGTCCTGATTTCATCACACGCGGTATGGTGAAATGATCGGATTCCGATTCCTCGTCAAGGCGGGTGATGCTCAGATTGACACTTTTTGTAGTGTCGTCATAGCAACAGGTATGATGGTCGTCATCCATGTTGTGGTCATCGTGATCCTGACCACTGCATTGATGCAAGTTACCTTGTATACTGTACTGATTGCCATCTGAGGTAATGAGTCTGCCGATAAAGTCATCGGTAGAGTCCAGGCAGCAAATGTAAGCCAGTCCTGTTATATCAGATTTGGACATGTCTAACCTAACAAGATCAAATTGACATTATATATTAGAAATAAAATAACAAAAATTGAATTAAATAGCAAACAATTTTTGTAGCTTTATAAAATTGCCTAACTTTCTGTACACAAACACTGATCAATCTCAAAACTTCATGGATCCTGACTAAAATTCAATTAAATATCAGTACTAATAATATAATACATATTGCAGCCATGTGTAGAAAATAATTCTCACTTTTTAACTTTAAAAACTTAATTTTATGGTTGCTCATTTCTTGTATTTAATAAGTAATCCATATATTTTCTGCTTAGTTATATGCAAAGCCACTTCATCATGTTTTCTTAGATTTAGGGAAGCCTTCCTTGTAGTCTCATTATATCTAATACATTCTTATGGTTTAGGACAGTGGTCGGCAAATCGCGCCTCACCTGCAGCATGCGGCTCTTTAGCAACCTGAATGTGGCATGGCCAATCGGCCACAAATTGGTTTTGACTCCGAAAAACATGGTTCTTGACAGGGTCTTGAAAAAAAATTTGGCTCTCAAAAAAACTTTAAATGCCATGCTGCTGATTTTTGGATCTTTTGATTCATGATTTTGCCGACCACTGGTTTAGGGTATCTGTGGCAATCACATTTACTCAAGAATTTAATTTTCCACTTACATTATTACTAATACCATATCTATGGAAGTTATTATCAATAAAATATAAATAAATAATAATTAGTTATTTCCAAATTTATGTTTTATTAGTGGCCTAAAATTACATTAATTATAATTTATAAAGGGTAAATAAATAAATATATTATAGTCTGAGCTTTGAACTGAGGTTTATTGAGCTTGAAAAGATCTTTCTTTCTCACAATGACAAAGTTTTTGTGCTTTTTACTTTGAGAATAATGAATAATCATAACATGTAGACCTCTACCATAATAAAGGCTATTTATAAAGGCTTATTATTTATTTATTATAAAATATAATGTTAATTTATAATTAGTTATTAAAAAAATCATGGGTTCTCAAACATCTATTTTGACTCACTGTCCCTCATACTCACTCAATTCATGGTGTTGGATTACAGTTTGATAATTATAAACGATTTCATATGCATACTGCACTAAAAAGAAACAACACAAAAACAATGCAGTATTCATTATTATATTTTAAAAAGAAATTGATGAACAACAATATTAATCTACACAAACTTAAACTTGACGTAAACCTTAATGACAATGGAAATGGTAACCATGTGCCGAAAATAATGACATTTTAAAATTTTATTAATGATGCCCCTGCTTTTCTCTTGGGCCCTAAAAAAAACGGCATAAAACCTGTTGCACACATCAGAGAAAAAAGTTCTCAGAAAAATATATGGACCAACAAAGGATGAATATGGATGGAGAATACGAACCAACCATGAATTGTACAGTCTATAATATCAGGATCCTCCGATAGTAGCAGAAATAAAAAAGGGCAGGCTACTCTGGGCAGGACACTTAGACTTAGAGAGAATGCCAAACCAAATGACAGTGACTCTGAGTGACAGAGGAGTGAAGAGGGTGCATCAGGAAAACCCCAGAGGAAAACGGCTCAAAGACAGACCTAGGCTTAGATGGATGGATGATGTGGAAAAAGATCTACAACAACTGGCAATCCAAGCATGGAAAAGAAAAGCATTAGTTAGGACCAATGTTCCCTTTAAGTTTAAGCTGCTGCACAGCTGTCTCACAGACGCCGCGCAGCAGTTTTGAGTACTGCGCAGCAAATTTCCATAATGTAAGTGAGTGAGTGTTTGTGAGGTGTAAAGTTTTGCACAGAAAAAAAATGATGCTGTAAAACTTCAACTGTATGATTTTGCACAAGAACCAACAAACCTTAAAGGGAACATTGGTTAGGACTGAGATGCAGGCCAAAGCTCTACACTACGCGTAACATGGGCTGTAGCGCCACGGCCACAGGGATCGATGGATGCTTTTCTCTCTTACTTACTAAGTACTCTTACTGTCTTACTCTTAATTAATTATTAAAATTGCCATTGATACCTAGCTAGGGTTATTGCGGCCCGGAATGGATTGTCAATTACCTGAGGAATATTTTGCAGTCTATTTTACCCTATTTTTGACTGAATTGTGTGTAAGCCCTTATTACTAATTAATTTTTTTTTTAAAATTAGGGTCTTTAAGTCTATAGTAGCCTACGCTTTTTTTACACACTACACACTGATTATGGGCTGTTGAGCTCTTTTCTCAAGAAGTTTTTAATGTAGATTGTATATCAACAATGCGGTGAATAGTCTTATTAGTCCTCTAAATTAACAATGACTATGACAATATCTAAGTCTGAAGCTCCTTTATCGCGTAGGTTATTTTTTCTTTAAAATAATCAAGTCTTATATAATAATATACAGTTATTTTGGCATCTCCAAGAATGGTAAAATTTTCTTATTGGATTTAAAAAACAAAACAAAGATAGGGTAACAGGATAAATTTACCGATTTTTAAAGTTTCGAAAACGGAAGTAGTTTTTTTTCTCCTGACCTTAACCTAAGCAGCCAAAGGCACAAGACAAGTGGTGTGTTTCTAAAGCTAAAAGAAAGAGTAACAAAATAATTAATAACCTTTGTTATCTTTTCATATAGCAATTTTCATTTTTTTCTACCATATTCAACAAATTCATGCCCCCCCCCCTCCCGGTCCTTTTAAAACTGAATATTTTTAATCATTGTTTAGCCGGGTGGCAGTTCTCAGTTCAGTCTTCAGTGTCTTGTCCTTTGGCGCCTTTGCCTTTTTGTATGTTATGCAATACTATACAATTTTAATCAACGATTATTGAAAGTAATGTTCAGCCTGTTAAAATTTAAGTTTTAAGCTACTTGATTTGAGGGGGTAATAAGGGGAGAGACTGCAATCAGGTTAGTACAAAATAAAATGAGTAAAACAGAGTAGGGTTTAACCCTACTCTGTTTTACTCATTTTACTTGATTTGATATGTTTTGGAATACTGAGATTGTTAAGTAAGTTAAGTAGCCTTGGCTCCATCAACAATTACAAATTGCAGGCTGCAACTGCAGGTGATCAGATTCAGATGGTAGGCACTTGGACTTGGATACAAAATTTTAAAAAATTCAAATAATTTTTTTAATAGCACAGTTAGTTAGAGCTAATTTCAAATAAAAAAATGAAACCAGAATCAACTTTTTAGCTTAAGTACTTTTTGAGCTATGAATTTTTAAAGTGTGAGTTCGTTTGGTATTTTTTACTATGGACGAAACCTCCACATCTTGTGACCTCATTCCGCTGATCGCGTCATGCGCAATGACTATATACTTTATATAAGGCAACGCATCGCCTTATCACTAAAATACTGTTTAGGGTCGACTTAGTTTAAACTTTCAACTTTGGCACATGAATAATTAATTAAAGCTTTCCCTGACCAATGGTTTAATAGTTTTTGCACACGGCAAACTCTTATGAATGAAACTCTGAGGTAGTACTACGATACAGTTATGCAAGTGGCTGTGAATGGTTGCCAATGACAACGTGTTGCACACGGTAAATTCTGATCATTTATAATATGGATTCTACCGGGTTGTTAAAGCTCAAATTAAAACATTCCAGTTTAAATGTCTTTAAATGCATTCTGAAACACAAGTTATCAATTATTTTGATGTAAATAGTGATAATAAATTAATATTTCCTAAGTATCGTCAACTTCCGCCATTAAAAAGGGGGGCGTGGCCAACCCCATGGCGAAATTAGGTTGAGCGAGCTGCATAACCTGCTGCGAACGCGTAGAAACATGGCGTCTCTCGTAAGACACTTATCCAAATGGAACGGAACTCAAATATATATCGAAAGTACTAATTTAATAATAAATAGACACACACATCGGAAAATTAAAAACTCGGATTTTTTGGCGCCGATTGCGAAATCCCATACACAAAAAGTAGTAGTCTCCCTTGACTTACCGATGTACCTACAGATGGGCAAGATCAAGGTCAAGATGCGCCTAGGCCTAGCCCTAGGCCGAGGCCTTACACTTTACATTACATCCATTATTTAAGCCTAAGCTTATAATACATTGACAACATCCTTATTAATAGTAGTATTAGTCTTAGTTTATCTAATAATAGCTAATAAATACACTGTTTAAGAAGAGGAATTCTGATTGGAAAATTGATTTTCTTATTTTATAAAGAATAGGCGGCAATAGGCCTAATTGTCCAAACAATTAATTTAAAACAAATTATTATTTTTTTGTATACAATCATATTATATTGTTTAGTCATATTAGAATAAAACACTTTTGTTTAATCAGATGTTTCAATGATTAAAGTGTTTTATTTAAAACGTTTATTTCCCACCGCTAAATAAAATGATATAAATATAAATAAAAAGATGGCCTCCGTTTTTTCATAATATGAGGATTTTTTTTTCGTGCTCGTTGTCATAAATTCTAGACAAGACATAGCCATTAATGTTAACAATAAATGCTTTTAACGTTAACTTAAAGTTAAAGTGATCAAGCTTTAAAGAACAAAATTAATCAATCAAACATCAACTGGCATCAGTAGTTTTTGAGCTATGAATTTTAAAAACTATTTGGAAATGACGATGTGAGTTCATTTGTCCTGTTATATTAATAATGTTTTATATATAAGATGCAGGATTTTCAGTATTGTGCAGTTAGGCACATACTGTATTTAAAATACAAATTAAAAGACATCCAAATAGGCCTTGGTTACTGACCCTTTAAAAAAAAGAAATTAAGTTGAAAATTAGCTTCCCTATTTGACTTTTGTCACCATATTGCATGCCACCAATGCTTATTATCTGCTAGTGAGTAGAACATGCTTTAAAATATTTACTAATTTTTTAGCACAATTTTAGGCTTTGGATTCATCTATATTGTGTTGTGACAAATCGGCCCAGAGAAAAGGGCTATTACTGCTGCATCATCTAGGGTATTAAACCACTGAGGGGAGGGGATTTGGGAAGGTGTATAATTTGTGTGCTGTGTA